AAGTCCACAAGTCTAAAAAGTGCCTCACCAGCCATAAAGCTGACCGCACGTCACTGCTTGGTATCATGGTTCTGTAGTATTTTTATTTTCATCTTTTATTTGCATAGGAAATACCCACTAGGTGGGACATATTAGAATCCCAAAACTCTACCAGCAAAGTACAGAATTACAATCTAACAAGAGCTAAAATCTATAGTACCCTTCCTGTAATTACAGCATGAGTTTGAGGTCTATGCTGAAAAAAGCTGTTTCTTTGATAATCAAAACAATAACCCCTCTAATTATAAATTAAATGATTAAAAATAACAGAAGACTATAGAAAAGTCCAGACTTATAGAGTGGGAAATGATCATGAGAGCATTATGTACTTATGCTCAAATGTTGTAGTAGGCTAAGGAAAAGAAAGTGGGTTTCAGGAAAAGGAGAGCATCAAAATAGATATTTTCAACCCTTCTCTTGTGATTATATAGGTGGTCCTCAGTGCCAGGGGAGGCACCTGGGTGATGAGTCGAGTATATGACAATGGCTATCCCTGGGACACCCTTTACCACACTCGCTTTCTTAATTTTATCCGAAATTCTGTCCCATGGTTTGTTTTGAAATGGATGACAGAACAGAAGATGAATCAATGGTTCAATCATGAAAACTATGGCTTGGTGCCTCAAAACAGGTATATGAGGAGATTATATATTTGTCATGAAACTGTATTTATAGTTATTGCTAGTTATTGCAACAATCACTTGCAAAATTAGTAATTTAACCTTAAAGCTAGTCAAGGTTTTGAATTGTGCTGAATTTCACCTCCTGTACCATTCTGTAAAACCAAGCAAAATTGAATTGGTATGTTGCTTAAAATAATTTTTTATCAGTAAAGTTAAATAATCTTTGACTATCAGTATTAGCTTCCATTTATTCCTATTTTGAAAAAACATATGCAATTCCCACTTTAAAACTCATGTATCTGTAAAAACATGTTTCTTATTGTGTCTCTTCATGGATCACTTTTGTTGCCTTGCTGATCTCCAGAGTGTGAGTTCCAACCAATGCCCTAATTAAAACATGAATCTCAAGCTGAGGTTCAAAAGAAATCCAGTTATTTATTAGGAGTGTCATGTCGGCATGTACTAAGTGAAACCAACTCTGACCTCACTTAATTCACGTCTTGGCTCTGATCCTGTTTCCCCCTCTCCCCAAGGTGTATCATCAGTCACATTCCCCAATGAAGCAATTTCATAGGTTGCAAAAGTCACTCCCTCCAGCCACTGTGGATCTCCGTGGAGATGGCCTTGACATTTGTTGGCTGGAATGTGCTTTGTTTTGACTGAGGTGCAGTAGTGGGATTCAGCCAGTTTGCACCTATTCGGGAGAACCGGTTGGTAACTTTCTAAGTAGTTCAGAGAAC